CTCTTTTAATACTTTTCCCCTCATTCTGAAAGAAAGAAGTTAAATGTGCCAATGTGGCGGCCTTCTTGGTGTGTGGTGCGAGACGGGAGATGTAGTTCATTGAGCGGTTTCAGTCAAAAAAAGTCTTACTTTCGTGGCTCAATTCAAACGGGATCGAAAGGTAATCTTTCTCTCGCCATTGACTTCAATACATAATTTATCCGAAATAAGGTCCCATGGAGGTCCCCCGGAAAGGGAGGGACTTCGCCTCTCTATTGCTTTAGCCTCACTGATGAGGAATGTTGATTATTACACTCCGAACAAGTTAAAACCTCGAGCTACAGAAGAGTTCTTCAGAATTGGTTTGGCAACCGCTGTGTCACCTCGTGGCGCACGACTTGTCAATTCTCCGGCCGCAACTCTAAATAAACCATCAGTGTTTGCCATCAAGTTCCAGCTCTCCTCGTGTCTCTCTGAGTTTCGTCTCCATTGCTTCAAAAGCTTCCATCACATTCTACATCTCTACTGCAACGTTACCTCTTCATACCTACACCTCGCTTTTGTATCACTTTCTTTGGCTCCATCATTTTTGCTAAAGTGTCAGGTTGCCTTATTGCCTGCCAGCTTCTCTATGTTTGTTTATGAGAGCCGTTGTGTTCTCAGGCTATGCGATATTCCTTCAATCTCTCCAGGCGATTGAAGGAGGATTTTTGAAGTAATTTGTCGGAGTATTGGCTGTGAGAAATATTGATCAAGCAATACATCTCTCCCAGGCACGGTGGTCGATACCATGACACTTGGGTTGGTTCCTGTAATGGAGGTTAATGATCCTCCTCTCACATTCTTTCCTCCTTCTTCTCACATTCTTCTTTTCTGCTTTCACCTTGTGTTCTTTGTGTTCAAATCTATTCCCTCCAATGCTGCCTCTCTTGTTTATCATACACACCCTCCATCCATCTCTTGACATTTCTCATATACACTTCAGAATTTTTATTTTTGGTCTCTTCGGACTTGGTTGCTTTTTTTCTTTTTCTTTTTTTGGTATGATCTCAGCCCGGCACCTCTCTCTGTCTCGGTTCAGCTGCCTTTCTAACCTCCCCCTCTCTCCCCCCCTCTCCCTGTCTGTCTCCCTCTGTCCTTCCCTTTCATCTGACAGACTCTGGACGATCTGGAGCAAAGGACGAAGGAGGCAGGCATCGAGATCAGCGTTCGTCAGAGTTTCCTCACCGACCCGGCTGTCGCTGTCAAAAACCTCAAGGTGCTTTGATTAAAAATTCACCTCAGCTGCTGGTCGTTTCTCCCCCTCTCCTTCCTCCTCCGGCTCACAGCTGCACACGATACCATTAGCATAGAGGCGATTTGATAGAGGAAATTAATGCACCATGCTAATTAGCAACTCCTGAACAGCAGTACGTGCAGTCCTGAGAAGCAGCAGGAACTTTGGCATGCTGTGCTTCCACTTCAAGCTGTGCTGTAGTGAAGCTATATTCTGCTCGTGTAACTAAGCAATGTTTTGTTTTCATGTTTTGACGCAGCGCCAAGATGCAAGGATCATTGTGGGGCTCTTTTATGAGACCGAAGCCAGGAAGGTGTTCTGTGAGGTTAGTATGTTTTTTTTATTCCTGCTCAATTGATCCCAATAGACTTAACCTGGCGGGCTATTAGCTGAAATTGAGCACTGTAATGAGCTGTTTGAGTGTCTGACTGTATTTCCTTGTTTGGCAGTGTCCCTCAATACATCTCTGGGAATAATTCTCCTCATGCTTATTTATCATTTCCACCCTTTCATCCTCCCTTCGTATCTGGCTCCCTCTCTCCCTGCTGCAGGTGTTCAAGGAGAAGCTCTATGGGAAGAAGGTTGTGTGGTTCTTGATAGGCTGGTACGCAGACAATTGGTTCAAGATCAAAGACCCAGCGATCGACTGTACTGTGGAGAACATGACGGAGGCCGTGGAGGGTCACGTGACCACCGAGATCGTCATGCTGAATCCTGAGACGGTCCGCGGCGTCTCCAACATGGTGGGAACTCACAAAACACTTTCATCTCACCCTCTACTATTCTATTTTTACTAAAGGAGATATTTATTCATTCCTGTAATTGACAATAATATTTTGTATTTTTGAAATTGAGTAAACTAATTGATAATGATCTCCATCACAATGCAAAATACATAAGGTAGTTAAGTACAATGCCATTGTTTTTATCAGATTATACCGACATCAAATAGAGCACACCTGTACACATGGGAAATTAAGTTCTTAATAGTATTTCCCAAGGTACAAATACATGAAAATGCAAATACAACATATCAGACAACCTAAGGAACAATCGTTAAAGAAAGCTATCGGAAACCAAAATAAATATAAGAAGTAAAATTATGGAAGTAAATATTGCAAGAACATCCTTAAATCCTTTTGAAGCGCAACACCACTAACAGGGAATAAAAATAGCACCTGCCAGATTACCTGCAGGGTAAATGTGGCTGTGGCGGGTAAACATTTGGGTCACCCTAAATTAATCACGGATTAATGTTACATATATACCATATATCTTCCACTGACTCATACATAGATTTCAGAAGTGGCTGACAATTTTTTTTTGTGGCTGGTAGAAATGTTCAGTGACCTGCAACAGTGACAGGTGAGGAAAACAATGTTTCATTTTCCATTTCCATATTATAATGGAGAACTTAGATCCTGAGAAAAGAAACACTTTGCTTCACGCTAATTATCACCAAAAGGTTTAAAGAAAAAACAGGGATTAAGTGCAGATAAAGTACTAATTGTGTACCTCTAAGTCAAAAGTATTTGCAAATGTCACTTTGCAATACCAGAAAAACATGTTTATAATTAGCATGTTTGCGTGCTGATATCTAGTTTAAGCTCTGCTGCACCAAGTCAAGTCTCAAAGAGCTGCTAACAAACAATCATAGTCTTGTTTTATATTGAGAATAAAGAAAAAACCAAATACAAATAAATAATAAGCTCTAAAATTGTGTAAAATAATATATCTTCCCACTTCTCTCAGTTTTCCTTCACTGTAATGTCCAGAGGTCGCTTGTCAGTCACTTAGACACTGTGATGTCTTCCTTATTGGATTTTCTGTTAATTGTCTTTGAGCTCTTTTTATCTGTTCATTATAATGAACTCAGTTCTCTTTCTAACTATTCAGTTCTTCTTATCCGTATCCCTAACAAAAGTGTTCAGCCATTCATGTAAAAGGATCAATTCCTATGAGATATTTATTTTTCTCCCTAGCTACAGTGAACTGCGCGTGACAGGAATTAATGTTATGTTTCATAAGAGGTAGAAAATAGATGTTTAATGCTGTCACACTCCTTCTGAACATCTTTCTTTATATTTGTACCTCTCAGGCAGTCGCCCTTTGCTTCTCTTTTGCCCGTCGCTCTTCTCTGTTCGCCTCCTCTAATCCTCTTAAACTGCCTCTGCGTCTCTCTGTCTCCCCCATTGTTCGACCTTCTCTGACTCTGCTGGTCTACGGTGGATCATCTTTTTTATTCTTCTTGTTTACCCACCTTTCCTTTCAGTTCTCCTTATCATTCCCACCTTTCCCACCAACACCCCCCCCCCATCTCTCCCAACACCCCTCCTTTTTCTCTCTCGCACTCCATCAGCAGCTGTTGTTTATATTCATACAGCACCTGCCGCTACCTGCTGATTCTGCTGTTGACGTGCTGCTCGGCGGGTGATAAGAATTACAGCCTGAACTCATAGTCAATCTATTCAAATTCAATTTCCAGGTTCGAAATTGGCATTTTTCTTTTAGATAGAGCATTCAGGTGGAGCCGGTGTTCCAGTATTGCGGGTTTTGCAATAGCACATTGTCAGCTAGTTTTCAGTAGGTAGTGGCAGATTTAAATGCCAAATGCCAAGGTGGAATTTCAATGAGATGAATTTGACATACGTGAATTGGGGCTGTGTGGGCCCTAATTGGCCTCAGAAAATCCACAGGGACGTCTGGATGATTTGTAGCTGTAATCTCCCGTCATGTAACCCTGCTTTTAGCAGGAGAGAACTCTCAATTGTACTAATTACAAAAAAATGTTTAAATGTACGAAAGGAACACAATGACTGAATGTCTTTATTCTCAATTCCACCCAAAATGTTGGGGTGTTATGCTTACATTTAAATAACTAAACTAAACTGCTGCAAAAACTTTGGAGGTGTTTGGAATTGTTAGCTTCGGAACTAACCAGCTCCTTCACAGTCAGCTGGTGGTCTTGAGCATTAGTAACATTTAATCACAGTCAAATGAAACGTACACACACTGCACAGCTTTGTTACCACCGACTTCATAGTCATTGACACACACACACACGCACGCACGCACGCACGCACGCACGCACACACACACACACACACACACACGCACACACACACACACACACACTCTCATTCCTTTCTCACTGTATTTTATTCTCTCTATGTGCTTGTCTTTCTTTCTCTTTCTCATAACCACACTTGCTAGTGTTCAACACAAACTTTAACATCTTCAATATACGTTGTAATAAGATGCTTAGGCCTAGTGGGGGGTCGGCTTAGGCCTGGCGGGTTGCCGCGGTTGCCAAAAATTGAGGAAACCCTGAGGTTTTAAGACGATTTCTTGTACAAAATAACCCACTTGAATCGGGAAAGTGTGGATTCATGTAGGCGTTACTCCATAAATCCTCCAGATCATCCTCATAGACACTTTGTTGTCTTGTTTGAAGCTTTGCATTTCTTAGGAAAGAGTTCTCTGTGATCTTCTTCCTGTCATGTCTCTTCCAGACGTCGCAGGAGTTTATCGCCGCCCTGATGTCTCGTCTCGGTGGAAAGAACCCAGAGGACACCGGGGGGTTTCAGGAGGCTCCTCTCGCCTACGATGCAGTGTGGGCTCTGGCCCTCGCCCTCAATAAGACCGTGGCCCCCCTGAAGGCTAAGGGTCGACGACTGGAGGATTTCAACTACAACAACCATGACATCACCTCCGAGATCTACAGGGCCCTCAACACCAGCTCCTTCGAAGGTGTTTCGGTAAGTGAGAAAGATGATAAAAAAAGAATTATAGATAATTAAAAAATTATGTTTTTCTGCTCCTGTTAATTTATTTATTATACATCAATATGCAGTGTTTAGAAATAGTCCTTGTGGTAGGATAAAAGGACCCGAGTGTACACTATTTCAGGATGGAAATAGTTGAATATAGTGTAATTAATGTACTAATAACTGTTCACATGCATTCCCTGTACACCTCATTAGCAAGACTGTGACATCTACTGCAATCCAGCAGCTCTTACTCACATGCTGCTTATAAAAAGCTTCTGATGGTCTGTTTTTGTAATTTCAACTATCTGTTTATATCTTAAGTCTTAATTCTCAGTTGTATTGCAGTGCACTGCATTATACTGAAAACTGTTTCTGGTCATCTTTCCCCCCCATGTTTTGTTAAATAGAGCATGACAAAAATGATATGCACCTGTCAATATAATGCAGTCCAGTTCATCACCACTGCAAACTACATTACAACCTCAATAAAAGACATATAGTTAAATTGACACCTCTCTTTGTTAAGTTGTGGCTGAGCTGCTGTAGTGTGTTGCATTAGAGAACACATATGTTAAAGACAATTTACCACTTATTTGTATCCATCATTTCTGTTAATGGTTACAAATAGGAACACTGCAAAATTGCTACAGTGAGGTGTGAATGAAGTGGATACACTGTCAGATGATCCAACAGGTTGAAAACAGGCAAACACTCTATCCAGGTTATATAAACTTATATATTAGGAGATAAAAACACATCAAAAATGTTGGTAAGAATATCCTATTTTACAAAAAGATTATATTTATTACCATATATTTAGCTGTTACCAACCAAAGCAAGTGTTTCCAGTCCTTAAGCAATTCAGAAGTTAATTTGTGTGGCCTTTCTTGGAATCTAAATGTGAATAAAAAGGACGAAAGGAAATCGTATAATCCTCGAAGCAAAGTGAAACGTATATACCCCTGACTGTGCCGCCAAGCAAAATGCGTCTTTTTCACGTATATAAATAAGCTAATGTATACATCTGGTGCAAGATTGGTCCCATTCTATGCAAATGAGCATTATTGGAAAAACAAAAATTCACAAAGATCAGCACATATAAGCCCTTGCAGTATCACTGAAAACACTTAGAGTCGGTGGTACCTGAAGCACGTTTATAAGGGGTGTCACGCCCTGACTTTCTTTTGTTCTTTGCTTCAAATTATGCCATCTTCTTTTACAGTCCTAAGGTGTGCGGATAAAAAACACCAGCAGCACTGACAGACTGGGATATTAAATCCTAAATATGGTTTATCTCTGTCGCATTTTAATTCAAAGCCTGCACCTCGTCTGTCAGGACCTGTAGCTTGCGGTCTAAACATTTCAGTTTTTTTTATGACATGCCCACCATGCTCTTGGCACAAAGGCAACATTTATGCTTCGCCACATGGATAATTGCAATCACACTCAAGAAAAGGGAACATTTCTATTCATTGTATGGCAGTGTTTATGCAGTAGTACCATTACCACAATATATTTGATTTGGACCTTGAGATAAGAGCAGATAGTGTTTGCCTTTCTTGGAGCTACCAGCGGCTGCAATTCAACTCTTGTGAATTTGCCTGTAAGTGTATTTATCAAAAATGTCAAGCTATTCCTTCAAGGAAGTAGTTTAATCATTTTCAGCAAAAAAAAACACTTCCTCTCTTCTGTGTCTCAGGGCCAAGTGGTGTTTGACGCCCAGGGATCCAGGATGGCGATGACTCTTATCGAGCAACTGCAAGGTAAAACACTCACTGTCCTCCCACAGATGTTGTTTTGAAGTAAACAATGTCACTTATTAATTTAAAGAAAACATCACAGCTGAGTGTTTCCCTTATGTATCAATTGTTGCTCATTTCAGAGCAAAGCCTCTTTTTTCGGTGAGGGATTGTTGCGGGCTTCTGTGAGATTGGTCTCAATATCCTATAATTGAACATGCGAATGGTCTGATGCAGGATTTTGTTGACTCAAGGCTTAACTCTAATTGGCCACAAACCTCAGTTTTAAGCCTTTCCTGGAACTGGCATCCTATTTGTCACCAGTGAGTTAATGAGTTTCCCCGCACAGGATAAGGGTGAGGATTATTTTCTACCTCTGTTCCCTTTGGCGTCCTAAAGGATGAGGATTTATAATCCTGCCCCTTTCCCCTCACACTCTGTCTCATATTTCCTGTTGTGGTGTCGAGGTAATTTGACATCCACAATGAGACGACCTGACTTGCATCCCTGAGCCACTCGGGGACCTCATCAGTATTCCTGGTCAAGACTGCCACATAAGCTCCTTTTTTCTTCTCTTTCCTCCTTCTTCTCCCCTTGGTACTTCTTTGTTTGTCCTTCTTTATGCAGCTTTTCATTCCTCATTTCTTTTCAGTTCATTGTGTTTATTTCCTGTACCCACGCAAACCATTAATGTGAAAGCACAGGAATAATACAATAATAGCTAAATAGTGGTTTATGAATAGAGTAGTTATGTCAAGTTGTATAGGGATCACGATCCAGGGGAGGAAATGAATTACACAAGCAATACTAATTAAGCTTTCTTTCTTTCCGTGATGTTGTGTCCTTCCTTTCATTCTTTCACTCTATTTTTCCTTTTTTTCCTCATCTAGGAGGCAGTTACAAGAAGATCAGTTACTATGACAGCTCCCAGAAGAACCTCTCCTGGTTTGGCAATGATGTTTGGATAGGTAAGATGGAGATCATGACACTGTCTTCACTCAGCTTCCTGCATCTGTGTTTGTATCCTGTGTGTCAGGCTGTGAGTCAACAGAGTCCAATCCTTTGTGCTTTGACATTAGACCTCCTCGGTGCGGCTTGATTTAGCTTCCTAACTGTGTAAAATACATATAATCATGCCGGATTTCTTTCTAACCGCTAGATTGGTTGAAGCTAGTTATTTTGAAGCTGATGCTCGCCCAAAGGGAGCCGCCCACACTCCCACTCTCCAACATGTGTTTAAGTGTTGGTGCAGCAGAAGCTCGGTTATCAAACAGGGCAGAATTAGGTTTGACTAAGCCAGGAGTTTTCAATGTCTGACATTGTGGGTTCAACCGCAGACAAAATCAAGATAACTCAGCCTTCCTAACACTGACCTCCCCCAGTTAGTAAACTGTTGGCTACAAAAATGTTTTACCTTTTAAAAGTATGACGAATTAGTAGCTGTAAGCTGTACCTGTTTGGAATGTACCCATGGATGTACCAACAACTATCACTGGGTTTCTTAACAAAACTGTAAATAAGAGATGATTTTCAGCCAAGTTCTGGGACATAAAGAGTGCCTTTTGTTTCAGATTTCTTGGCAGATTTATATACACTTATTTGTGATGGACATTGGAGATAATGATATCCTCAAGTCACACTCAATAAAATGGAGATGCCTTTGGTTAGAATGTTTCTGTGGGCTTGGATTTGAGTTATGAGTGAGAAAGAGTGCAAGCATGAGGCAAATTGCAGCAATTGTTTGCTAAGGTTATTCAAGTAGAGTTGCCTCCTTGAGCTGTGTGTCACAGCCGCCGCTGCGCAACGACGGCTGACCGAGTTGGTAAGTGGGCCAAGCCAACGGGTCAAATACAATAAATGCCCATCGTTTATAAAACACCGGCATGCTCTTGTTTTTTTCACCTTTGCCTCAAGTCTCTCTCTCATCGCCTTAAGCCTCAAAACCAGAATAAGAGTTTGCTTTTACGCCATTCTGCTGAAAAGGCTGGAGCCCAGGTCACACAAACCTTCTCTTCTAACTCCTGCTGCCTGTATTCTAGTTTCCTGTGAAAACCTTTTACTGCTGATTTTGCTCAGACACCAAGACCAATTCTGTGGTTGTTTACTGGTCCGTCCCTCCCTGGAGAGGTGACATACTTGTGCCTGGACAGACTTTGCCACTAATCAATCCTGTACGCCTCAGTGGTCCGTAGAGAGCCGCCTTTTTTTAGGCCTTTAAAGAAACGATCAGTTGCCAAGCTTTAACTTAACCCAGTAGAGGTAGTGATTCCAGGTCAGCATCGGTGGCGAGGGATGGGTGACCTGTATGCACACAGGAAACATGTCCTCCATCAGTTTGCCGTGTTGCAACGTGACAGGCTCTGTGTTAGCCCAGTTAACAACAGCTGGATAGAAACCGACTGGCTCTCCTACCTATCAGAGACGGGTTGTGTTGCCGTGCTTCCAGAGGTGGAAGAAGTACTCTACTTTTACTTAAAATAAATAAAATATCTGTGTAAAAATACTCCGTTACAAGTAAAAGTGCTGCATTTTAAGTCATACTTAAGTAAAAGTACAAAAGTATTGACATTAAAATAGTAAAAGCACCTATTGTGCAAAATGTCCCATTTTCTAATCATATATATGAAATTACTGGAGTATAACTATTGCTGCGTTAATGTGTTCATTACAGCTGCTAAAGGTGGAGGGACTTTGAATTATATTCTACCGCTCACATCTTAACCTATAATTATATTATTTATTTGTTTATTTATATATTGTATTAACTACTAATAATCCTAATTTGTAAAGTAAATAGTAACTAATTTAGTCTAATAAATGTAATGGAGTAAATAGTACAATATTGGCTTCCAAATTGAAGTGCAGTAGTATAAAGAAGCATCAAATAAAAATACTCAATTTGAGTACTTAATTACAATATTTGAGTAAATGGACTTCAATATATTGGAGCATGATTTGATTTGATGCTGTTTACCAAACAAAGACACATTCATCTGACATCTACCCGTTGAGAGGAAATTAGTAATTTCCTGCTTTCTGTCAGTTGGGGTACCTTTCTTCGACAGTTGGGGCGCGCTTGATTTGCTCCAAGCTGACAGGGTGGAGTACACAGGGGGTTTTTCTCAACTTAACCCCGCCACTTGTTTTCCAGCGTGTTTACCAGGCGTCTCCCTTACCTCCTTTTCTCACTCTCACTGCACGGTCGCCCTAACAACCACTTCAGCTCAGCTCTTCTTCTAATCGCTGTGGCAACTGTTATAGAGCTGGGTCTCCATGGCAACACCCTGTCCTGATTCCTTGATCAAGGACGGAGGAGGGTTTAAATAGTGCTGCGCGTCGACTGAATGGACCGTGGACAAATGCACACACATATGAACACACACGCAGTATTAGTTATGCTGTTTCATGCTGTGCACTAATTCATTCACATATTCTGTGCGTAGTATTCACTTTAATGCATATCATTATAGTAATAAAAGTGGGCTTTATGTTAAATGATGTGCAAACCAGCTGAATTTAAAGGGGGCACACGAAACAATACAATTAAACAGGAGAGAATAAAAAGAATGCAATTTAAATAACATTAAACTAAATAACACAGCTTTTAGTCATATTTAATAAAAGCAAGGTTATAGACTTTAGAAAAGCGAGATTAAAAACATGGGATATTTCAACCCAGTCTCACAAAAAAACGTGTAATAACTACGTTGGTCCACAACTTGGGACGTAGTATTTCTACAAAAACGTTTTTTTTCACCATTCATTTCCAATGGCTGGCGTCTATGTCACGTGATCTTCAAATTTCTCCCTGCAGAAAAAAAAAACATGGCCGACATTCGTTTTATTCTCGGTGTAAATTTAAATGCCTATTTTAAAGTTAGTTTGGCCATTAAAATGCGTTTTGATGTCATTTGATGAAAGAAATATGAGTTGTTATTTCAGATTATGTGTGCAGTGGATGCACATGATCTTTAGTTTGCTAGTTATTACGAAGATTACTTCAGGAAATTGTGTCCATTCAACGTTTTCATTGTTACCAAGGTGGTTGCTATAGGGACGCTGCTATCTATATTATTTCTGTTATGTTGTGTAACTGTTTAATGGTGNCTATCCTTGTGAGTTTAAATTTGTATATTAATTATTTACCCACTTTTAACGACACGGGCTATTACCCGTCCGTAATTATCGGGTGTACGGTACGATCCAGTCTTCTCGAAATAAATGTCCGACCAAAATACAAACACTGGGAGGACACAATTGAACTATTCGGACTTTGTACCGTTGCAAAAGTTCCAAGTCTCCGTTTAAACGTTTAATACCGGTCATCGGTAGCTAGCCAGAATTCTACTTTCTACTATGAAATAACTAGGTTCAACCTTTAGTCGTACACGTTGCAACGTTTATACGTTCACAAACAAATACATTTAGGTAACTCAATATTAGTGTGTTTAAGATACAAAATATAATTTATTAAGCCCCCCCACACATAGAAATAAATAACAACAAGTCGGTGCGACCCTGTTCCCGCCTCTACTTGTTGAACCCACCACGTCCAAGGAGTGGTCACGCTCAATGTTCCTGCTAGATAGTTATACACACATAGAGGTGGTCAATTTGACAAGTATAAGACGTAGGGATGTACACAGTTTAATACTGGCAACTTCTTATTATGGGAAATACGAAAACATCTTTTAAAACTACAATTCCCAGTAGAGACTGAAATAACAACTCATATTTCTCGCATCAAATGACATCAAAACGCATTTTAATGGCCAAACTAACCTTAAAATAGGCTTTTCCACCGAGAATAAAACGAATGTCGGCCATGTTCTTTTTTTCTGCAGGGAGAAATTTGAAGATCACATGACATAGATTCCAGCCATTGGAAATGAATGGTGAAAAAAAATGTAGGGATCTTACAATTTCAGAGGCGTTTTTGTAGAAATACTACGTCCCAAGTTGTGGACCAACGTAGTTATTACACGTTTTTTTGTGAGACTGGGTTGGATATTTATGAAACAGTTGTTGATTTGCAGGTTAATAGCTTGTGGGAAAAGAGCTTTGAGGAAGGCCGAAAAAAAGAAATATTAAATTAATGTTTGCAGGGTTGTATGTTTATTTATCAGACAGCATTGTTGTAATTTTCTTCTGATCTCTAGAGCATTGCTTGTAAATTCTTGCTTCATTTTGGCACTTTAAGTGCTCTCCTTTCCTGTTTTTCTCAAATCACTGGCAGCATCTGTCACGTTTAATGCTACTATTGTAAAACACATATATGTGACGAGTTGGGTCACTGCACATTTGTGGAACTGAATCCTTTCATGTTGCTCGTATAGGAGATATGCTGCAAATTGCACAGATGGACAAACATTTTCATATACAACATCTTCTTTATCTCACGTGAAAAATGGGGAACGCTTAGGTACATTGTAGCATATCTGCAGGTCTTGAAAAGTCTTAAAGGTGCCCTATTGTGCTCTTTTCAAGTTAATATTTGCATTTTGTCCCTCTACTGTGACATGTTTCCATGCTTTAATGTTCAAAAAGTGTGTTATTTTTCTCATGCTGCCTGTGCTGCAGCACCTCACTCTGTCTGAAACCAGAGCCCAGTGTGCTTTGATTGGTTAGCTGGCTTGCTTTGCTATGATTGGCCAACTGCTTGGAGATGTCCCGCCCCTTAGCCTATACATACAAGGTGTTGAAGCGCTAGTCAATAGAAGTGTTACATAGTGATGTCATATATGTTATGGAAGCATAAAAGGGCCTCTTTAGAAAGAGTTATGTTTAGTTTCCAAAATATTGAGTTTTGTCTGGCATATATAGTTCTACTAACAATAAAGTTAATCGTTTCATAATATGCAACTGTTGAATTCAGGAAATAATTGTAATTTATACAGAATACTCTAATACAGTCAGAAATGTGACATACTGATGAATAATTCTAGGCCATATTTTTCCTACTGGATTT